TTGTGGGAGAAATTCTCTTCTGTAAAACAACAATTTCGGTAAGATTAGCATAGAAAGTATCCTATGTAAGACAACAATTACTCGGGCAAGAACACTGTATTGGACAAAAAGTTTACATTTCATCAGAGACGTATATATTACATCTCTGATTTCATGTGATCTATGTGAATTCTTTCGATTTTGATGACTTACCAATTACAAACTACATAATGAAGGTCATCATATAAGTACTGGTAAATAAATAAAGGTATAATTAAATAAAGGTTGGTATAGCTTCTATCATTATCCATTAGCAAACATAACACATCACAATATCTGTGTGGTAATTCATTTAATTACAGCCTCTATTTCCAGCCTTTTTCTCAAATCTTCAAAAAAACAACTCCTTCCTTAATTTCCTTAAATTACGTTTTTTCCAAAGGAAAATATTACTGGGGTTAAAAACAAAACCATTAAGAATACTTTCCTAACTTCAGAAATAATCTTTAATGGGAAATTTCAGTTAAAAAAAATCAACAAGCTAAGAAACATTTGTGAAACTGGGGTCGGTACAAGTGTACTGATGCACTTGAGGTCTTGCTAACCTAGCTACCAGGAATTTTGTTTATTAGTAGCTGACCTCCTTTGTGTTTGCGATGGTCCTTATTTGAGTTTCTACCATGATGATGACCCTGTTTGTGTATGTTACCGTTGAGACATATCAGCGACTCTATGATACCGCTCTCTGCGTTGATACCGCGCTCTGCGTCACCCCATAACTCGGTTCATCAGTGTCAATGCCACATAAAAGATAAGCAACATGCTCTGCACTTGACAATAAATTGAACCTATCCTACAAGTACAAACCTTCCCAGGACTATAAAACTAGTGTACAGTGCCAGTAGCATATGTTGATCAGCCCACTACAATATTAACTCTTATTCAAATTAACCTCCCATTGGACTTCATATGAACAATTACATCCCTTTCACCAACCCTCCTCCCCACAAAACCAACTTTTAGATGACAGCTTCCCTGAAAGATTTTTTTTTCCTAATTAAATTTTACAGAGCATAAACCTATGAAATGTCTTCTACTCTTTTGCTTTTAGTATTCCAACAAAGAAATCTCCAAATCCTTGGTGTGGTTATTTGATTGTCTAACCCTCCACAGAGCCTCGGGTAAGACAACCAAAAGGCTCCCCCCTCAGGGTCGGAGATTTATCTGTCACACCCTCAGGGTGGGGGGAATTCTATTAGTCGCCCCGATGGTATAATTACTTAGTCCACCTTTGAGGTATGATTGTATAGCACAATGAAGCGCCACCACATCAATCAAAAGGAACAACGCAGTCGCATCACAAACAAGCAGTAAAAATATAACCTCACAATCAGATTCAACGAGAGAGAAATTAAACTGGCACTAATCAAGAAGGAAGGTTTATGTTGATTAACCCATTGCTTCAGAACACAC